ATTTATTTATTTGGGAGAAGAATATTTCCCCAAAAAGACTAAATGAGATTTTTCATGACAACTCTAAAGATGAAGACTGAACAGATTTAATTTGCTTTAGAAAAAAGAATGGGGCTGGTGTGATGGCTCACACCTCTAATCCCAGCATTTTGGGAGGCCAAGACAGGTGGATCATTAGAGGTCAGGAGTTCGAGACCAGCCTGGCCAACATGGTGAAACACTGTCTCTACTAAAATACAAAAAATTAGCCAGGCGTGTTTGTGGGCACCTGTAATCCCAACTACTTAAGAGATTGAGGCAGGAGAATTGCTTGAACCCAGAAGACAGAGGTTCCAGCCTGGGCAACAGAGCAAGAGACCAAAAAAAAAAAAAAAAAAAAAAGAAAGAAAAGAAAAAGAGAAAAGGGAATGGGATATTTTCTGCCCCTCTAGTGTGGTATACGATTTTCATACTAGGTATGCATATAATTTATTTGTTGGTGGAAGGAGATTAGAGAAGCTCACAGTCTTCTTAGCATAGTAGAGCTAAAACTATTAATCATGAGTCAGCCATATACTTTTCCTTTATAAACACCCAAGAGTTTCTGGCCTTCCATGACACTATTAATCATAGAAGCAGGTATTAGTTCAGTATCTTTAACCTATTTTTTAAAAATACTGATTAAACTAGCTGTACATTGCAGTAAATACTGTAAGTTGTCTTCTCAATATCTCCCTTCTTCCTTGCTAACAACTCTGATTTTGTTCCCAGCTATAATCTAACTATATCCAGCAGTGAATCATGATAGTCTAAAGTTAAACTAATTATTTAGTCTTCCACATACTGAATATTCCAGGCTGCTTTGCTGGAAAGTTAAGGCAGAACCATATGGCCCAGTTTTGGATAAAGACATAAGAGGGTATCTTACAGGGATTCCCAGGAAAGATTTTGTATTTCTGATAAAAGGAATCTATGTGGCTGGCACTACCCATTTTTCCTTTCTTCATGCCTTAAACATGCCCATAATTACAGTAGCCAAATTATGACTATGTTATCACAAACATGAAAATAAAAAGTGAACCCTCTAGACATGCCACAGCAGAAAGATAGGAGCAAAATCCTTGTTGATCTTGTTAAATAGTTGAATCAAGATCTACCTACTTTCTCACTCTTTACTTTTTCTTATATGAACAAAATAAACCCTGATTATTTAGGCCATGGTAAGGTTTTCCATCACTTAAAGCCAAAAGCAACATTTAAGTCACTGTGTGTACCAGGCCACTTGCTATACTTAGCAATTACATAATGAATGGATCAATAAGATAATTGAAATAAAATGCACTTTAAAGGTCTGTTCTAACATACTTTTTTCATTTTATCTCAGTCAAATGCAATCTTATCTACCCAAAACTGAAAACAATCAGACAATGGCAAATGTTGCTAACTCAACAAAATAGATAATGGAATAGAAAGTGACTACCATTAAATAGTACAGGTATCATTTGATAGGATGGCCAAAAAAAGTCTGCTTGTTCCCCCACTAGAAATTGTGAGAAGCATCAAGATATATGGGATTAATCTGAATTAGATTATTTTCCTTGAATGTTCTTCCTAATCTCTGTGTCTTTCCTCATTCCTTTCTCTTTGTCTGTAATACTCCCCACCATTTCTTTCTGTGAACCACCAACCCGACCTTTAATACGGCCTCCTTTATGAAGTCTTACCTGATCCTCCCTAGACAAATGTTCTCGCTCCTGTTCCGATTCTCTCAATGTGAGTACTGTGACCTCCTCTGCAATACCTATTATTCTCTCAGTTAGGTATTTCAGAAATGAAATTGGAATCATTGTAAGAGAAATGTACCACAGAATGGACAGGGTTAGAGTTGGCCTTAAGAATAACTGGATATGAGCATTTAAACACGAAATCCTGATCTTTCCCATTTTCCCTATGTGAACCACTGATGCACGTTCTATCATGTTCAGGAATTGAATAATTACTGCTTCCAATAATTTTGTGAATATTTAAAATATGTGGCTTAGTAGAACCATTTTACTATCATGAAAGCATTTTATAAAATTCATATTCAGATGACATCTTAATTTATCAAGAATATGTAAAAAGATGCAATTGAACTAAATGGACTAAAGATGCTATGAAGGAAAATAGCCTATTGAAGAACGATGCACATATGTTTGCAAACAAGTATAACCACAATGCAATGTGATAACTGTTATATTAGTTGCATATATAAACTAGCACAAAAGAAATACTGAAATGTCTGCTAATTTCAGCTGAGAGAATCAGGATAAGCATTCATGAGTAAATATTTGAGGTGGATCTTGAAGTTCAATTGCTATCCAAAGTCAGTAGGACATGCACAAAAAAGAAAATAGCCTGGGCACAGGTGCTATGGTTGGAAAACAAATAGTATATACTTGGAGGAAGGGAACAAACTACTTTTAAAGCTAGGAAATCTGCGTTTAACTATTTAGATCGTTGCAGATATGTAGAAAAGTTGCTGCTATAAAAATAAGAAGTAATACTTAGGAACAAATACACTTAAAAACAGATGTGTCACTGTTTCTAAAGCCCTTCCCAACAGAATACAGCTCAGAACCCAACTGTTGGTTCACAGAATTGTCTACTGATATCCAAAGATACCTTGGAAGTAGGCTATCAACATTTTGGTTACAGATATGATACTGAAATTTTTAGTTTTATTTCTAAGACTGAAAAATATTTACAAATGTAAGTTTTCCCTTTTTAAGAGTGACAGATTTATACTCTCTTCCCACTTCTATAGTTTCCAATCTTCATAAACACACATTTCCTTTAATGGACAATTATTAATTAATTGTTAGTTAAGAAAAGAGGTGTGACGTCAAATATTTGCTAATTAAAATATATATTTTTTAAAATTCTACAGTTCAAACTAAAGACAATAAAGTCAATGATCTTATTCATTCCAGACACCTGAGCACCCCATATAATTTCAAATATAGGTATGTCCTACAATGGCCACTATTTTTTCATCAGTAATCGCAAGCTACATAGATGTCATGTATCAAAACAAAAAAAATCCAGATTTCCTCTTTGAAACCCATAAATATTTTAGACAAGCAGAAATGCAGGCCCAGTACAGTGGCTAATGCCTATAATGCCAGCACTTTGCGAGGCCTAGGCGGGAGGATCACCTGAGGTCAGGAGTTCGATACCAGACTGGCCAACACGGTGAAACACCATCTCTACTAAAAATACAAAAATTAGCCAGGCATGGTGGTGGGCCCCTCTAATCCCATCTACTAGGGAGGCTGAAGCAGGAGAATTGCTGAAACCTGGGAGGGAGAGGTTGCAGTGAGCAGAGATGACGCCATTGCACTCTGGCCTGGGCAACAAGAGTGAAACTCTGTCTTCAAAAAAAGAAAAAAAAAAAAAAAAAGAAGAAGAAGAAAGAAAAGAAAAGAAATGCAAAATGATGCAGAGCAAAAACCATTATGTAAACGTCGTGTCATTCATTTTGATATTACTTTAAAATCATCAGTGGCCGTGTTAGAAAACAGAGAAAGAGAAAGAGGAAAGCAGATTAAAAAAAAAAAAAAGTTTTCCCAACTGAGCAGATCACACCAATTACATTTGAGCAATAGTACTCAATATCATTACTTTTAGTCCATTACATAACAATACTTGTAAACACAATTTGTTTGGACTATTATTTTTCTTTAGGAAGATTCATAAGAAATCACATTGTACACATAGTTATGAGAATTTAAAAATGTGTATTCAGCATTCATTTTGTTAATTTATGTTTAGTTAATGTTAGTGATGTAACAATTTTAACAGGTAGAAAGAAAAGCCCTGAAAGAAATAGATAATGTCTCAGTATTATGCACAAAAATGTTTTCATACAATGAGTCAGTATATTCTCTTGGCTCCTATTTCTTATACCATTAAGATAGACTCTTTACACAAACTATAATTTGATTCAAATTCCCTTTAAGATCCCATACGATTATCTTTGATACTGTAACCTTTTTAACCTCTTAGTTTCTACAATAATTTCCATTCATCTGACTTCTTGAGAAAATTTATAAGAGTCAGTAGATTTTCTCAAGCATTCTAGCAATAAAGATTTTTGAGTATTGCTACTTATTTTGCTATACAACATTAATGAGTGCGCTGACCTTCCAAGAATCAGTTTGATCTGATAGATTGTAAATTTATTAAATACATAGGAAGTAACACTTCTTTTATATGCACTTTAACTTATTAGCACAGAATCCTGAACAGAGTAGAAACTCAAGAAATATACTATTTGAATAGAATTTATTTTTCATTGGTGTAATTAGTCTGTTTCTTATATTATGGTACTAGTAAAACACATTCATTTAATTCATATAACAGTTGATGTAACCCACCTACCTCTGGTTCTTAGTGTTTTAACTTCAACTTATTTAAATAGTCAAAATAGCTGACTTTAATATAATGAGTTAATAGATCTGTGAGAAAGAATTTGTTATAAAACAAGTCAACACAAAAGCAGAGCAAACTGAAAGCTTTAGCTACTCTTTAGTGTGAAATGACCTGAAGCCTTTTAGTTATCATTTATAACTGACCAATGATAATCATTGCACTTGATTATCTGCATTTTTGCATTTTTGCAGTATGCATTTTTGTAGTTAAAGATGGGAGTTCAAACATTGGATTTCCATCTGACAAAAGTTTTATTGTATTTCTTAAATATTGGATGAGGAGAATCTTGCTACTTAAAAATAAACTCTGAGTCAAAAATTACTTAACCTCTGTAAAACAAACTGAGTTGTTTCAACTGTAAAATGGCAATAACTAAAATACCTGTAACTTACCAGGCTGTTGTTAGGGTCACACAAAATTATATATGTAGAAAGGAGCTGTAAATTAATCATCAAATATTGGGCATCATTTCAATTTGTGCAATGTAATTATTTAATATACATGCAACACCCCAGCGTTTGACCATTTTACTCTTCTAAAATACTTACTGGTATACACAAGTTGAAAGCCTTCATCTGTCCCTTCAGAATCGGAATTAAATTCTAGCCAGAGCTGATTTGAAGTACTACTAAGTGTCAGTCCACGCATAGATGCACCAGTAAAGGCACCTAGTAGATGAGTTGTTTTATCTTTTCCATCGTAAATCTGTAAAATATATTTATAATTTAAATGAAAATGCGTCAATAATAATTCAGAGCATGTATTTACATGTATGAAAAAGAGAAAAGTGTACTTTTTCTAAATCAGATCAGTACATTTCCTAAGGACAACTAGATATATTGGTTTCTATGAACACAAAGTTAAGGAAGTTATAATTCACATGTATAATTTTAAAATTCCAAGCTTAGTATACTTTAAGTAAGACTTAAATCAGGTGATATAGCTTCTGTTCTTATTATTTTAAAAATGCTTTTTCTGGGAGACAATTTAAAATTAAGAATACCTACCTAAAGATTGGTTTTGAGAGTTGGTTACTTGGTTAGTTGGCTGTTTCTCTGCAACTTTCTCAAGGAGATCAAACACTTGCTTTTCCAACAACATGATTAATATAAAATATATTTGTGTCTGGTGCAGTTGTAACTTTTCCATGTTCGTTAACTTGTTTCATATTTGACATTTTAAAAAATATTAAGTTAAAGGAGTTCTAAATGCTTTTAGAAACAACTTAATAAAGCAAAAATACACAATAAAGAAATTGATAAGCTCCCACACATCATTCTCATTTTTCTGAAGGTATAACTACTTACTGTACTAATTTGTTTTTCTTTTATTAATGCATTATAGACATCTCTTCAGGTCAGTAATACAAATTCTTCTGTTTGAGAGATGTATAGTGACTCCATCATAACTTGCTCTACCATTCCCGTATTAATGAACTCAAGTTTTTGCTACTACAAGTAATGCTGATACAAACACTCTTTTACTTGTAGCCTCATGTTTTTCGGTACTTGTACTTCAGTAAAAAAGTTCTAGAAATACGGGATTCCAGAAATATGGGATATGAAATATGGGACATGTTCATATATTTCTAGATAGTTTTCTAAAAAGTACGTAGTAATTAAATCCAGGGTTTACCAACAATGCATATTACCATTCCTTTTCCTGTAAGGCATGCATTCCCAACATAATCATTATGACCTCCAAGGTGTAAAAATTGGTTCTTGGGAGCAATAATATTTTAGATATTACAATGATTTGTGGTTCCCTAAAGATCAACTCTCCCTGACAGACTTTATTCTATACTATTTTGTTTCACGGAGTTTCATGGGCTTCTTAGGTGAACAATAATAACAAGAAAAAGTGGAGAATACTGCTTGAAATTACTGGTCTGTTAGCTCAGATTGCCTTACTTACTCATGGCCTGGTGCTAGAGTAAAAATTATGTTAGATTCCACATCTAGGGATCTTGCCATAGCATAAGTGTTCCTCCATAACTACATTGATGTCACCTAAGAGATGATTTTTAGGTGGTATACAATGGAATATTTTGTTATTATTATATTAGTCTGTATATTTTTCTTATAATTGATAGTTGGTTTTAATCCGATGATTTATTTAGAATGTTTTAATATGATTTTAAATAAAAACTTGTGTATAATTAACCTTTCTTTCAAAGTATCTTTATTAGAATTTAATGTTAAGGTTATGCCAATTTTTTTTCCAGGGCCCCTAAATGTTCTTTTCTAACCACATTACCCTAAACATTTTCTACAAAGAAATTCTAAGTCTCCACTGATAAGGCCTTTCTTGCACGCTCCATTTGTAATTGATGGAATCTATAGACTTATGTATACCCTCTAGGCTTCTACAGTTTGTTTACTTGTTCTTTACAGCAGAGAGAAAAGGTAGAAATAAGAGAAAGTGAGGAATTGAGAGTCTTAAGTTCAAGGCGACATGGTCATTGAATTCCTAACAGCAAACATTGCTTGGTCTCTCTCTTTTTATAAACGCGCTCAAGTTTTTAAAAAATGTACATTTACTCTTGAGAGTATTTGGATACTAGAGGGCTGTATACACAAATTTCCTAATATTATCAGGGAATACCTTGAATCCCTGGAGGAATCTAATTTATCATGCAAATAAGTTTCTGTTTTAGTTATCAGCAAGAATTTCTGTCTTCAACAAAATCAAACCAAATGTTGAGGTTGGTAGCTCAGGAATGCATGATTTTGGTTTGATTACATAACATTTAACTTTTCATTTCTTAAGAATAGTAGTCATTGGAGATAATTCAGAGGTAAGAAAACCTTGCTTGTGGCAAAATATAACTTGCATGTCTGTCAGTTTCAAATGTTCAATATTCTCACAAGTATGCTTCTGAATACATTTATTTTATGATTCTATATTACATAGTATATAAATTCTGTGTTTAGAGCTGCACATTCACAATCAAATCATTTAACCACTAGATCCAGTGGATCTTATTTGTGGTGATATTATCGAGATATCCCCAATAATATTTTCCTTAACTTCTCACCAACATATAATTTAATTGTTATGAAAAATATAAACATAAATAAAATATAAACAATTGTTTCTTGGATAAAACTACTTCTCTATTTATGTGTGGATACATTGTAATAACTTTCAGTTTGCCAAAAATAGCCAAATAAAGGGAGAATATAAATAGAGCAAGTAATTAATGTAACTGGGGAAGTAAAAACTGGTTGTTGAAATTTGTTTTTAATTTCTTTAAAAAGTCTTTCCTAATTTTTAAAAAATCTTCAGGAGTAATGAAAAGCAAAAATTAATGATAGATAGTAGAAACATTACTTTATACATATAAATTTTTCCTATATGTAACAATGTAAAAAGTAACAAAATAAGTCAATATTTAGTTATTTAGTTCTATGCCTGTGTTAGGTGCTGTAACTAAAATTAAAAAAAATAAAATAGTAAGACATCATTCTTAACCTAAAAATAAAAAAATATATATAAACACAAAATTCTCTGTGTATTCGGTTAGAAGCGTACAGTATACTTTTTTTTTTTTTTTTTTTTTTTTAAGACAGGGTCTCTGTCACCCATGCTGGAGTACAATGGTGTGATTTTGGCTCACTGCAGCCTCAACTTCCCCCAGCTCAGGTGACACTCCCACCTCAGCCTCCCAAGTAGCTTGCACTATAGGCATGCCCCACCAAGCCTGGCTAATTTTTGTATTTTTTGTAGAGATGGGATTTTGTCATGCTGCCCAGGCTGGTCTTGAACTCCTGGACTAAAACTATCTCTACATCTTGGCCTCCCAAAGTGCTGGGATTATAGGCAAGAGCCACTGAACCAGGCAGTACCTATATATATGTTTTTTGGGGTTTTTTTTAAGAAAAACTTTTTATAAGACATTTTTTTTTTAAAAACAATCATTTAAAGAAAGGGCATGATGAAAGAGCTAGTACTTTCAGGAAATAAAAATTATTTTAGGTTCAGCTGGGTGAATCTAATTCAGCACCAAAATCTGCTAGCTACAATGTATTTAACATTGTTGAGTCAAAAGGCAGAAAACAAATACTGTTGAAGCTCCACTATAATCATCAGAATAAAATGAAACTGGATCATTCAACTATGAAATTTTGGAAGCATGCATAAAATTGCTTAATCAAAATGAAAGGCAAGTGTTAATTAGGAAGCCTTTAAAAAGAGAAGAGTTTTATAGTAATGATCAAGTCAATGCTATTTAACTTATAAATAAAATCCTTCAAATGTAGTTAAATAGATGAAAACCTAAAGACCACAAAGGGACAAAGCAGTATAATCAAAGATAAATTACTTTTAAACTAGTCATGAATACAAGCATACAAATAAGAAAACAAAACGAACAAAATATGCCTTTTGTTCAAAAGTAAATATATAGTACAAAGTGATTAAATTGGGTCTGACTAGAGAGAGTAATAGGACTTTTATTTGAGACTGTTACTGCTCATATTTCTATTCTAATTGAAATCAAGATCTTTAAGCTTGTTTTTGTCTATTTAAGTGTAATCTCCTTTTTCTTTGATGTATATTATTATTATTAAATTGACTTAAGGATTAATATCATGAAAGGTATTGATGGCTTTTATTAATGTTAATGAAATTATTTGATGAGACTCTAATTTGTTAAGATGTTGCAATTGTCTGACTATTTACACCAGAACAAACTAAAACTTAACATTGCCATGTTTTAATTGTCAAACCTGTTTGTAATAAATCTGGTCCTGAAATTAGTTATGGTGTACAGACTCTCCTAAATCCAGTAGGTTAAACCGTATTATAACAAACTACTTATCAACACCCAAAACGCTTGCTGTTGTGAATGATATATAAATATATAAACAGAAAGCATGTTCTAACTCATTTATCTAATGAATTAGCAAGTGAGGTGTTAACCTGAATCCAAGAGCAGAAAGTAAATATAAAAGTAAAATATGAAGACAGAAATTACACATACATATATGTATAATTATATAAACCTCCAAATTATTCCTGTTCTTGGATCCTAGCATTTTTACTTTTGGTCATTTGTTTTATAGGTTGATTTGGAAATTAAATACATTTTCTAAAAAGGTGAATTAGATGTCAAGTGTGCATATAAAATAAAGAACGATTTTTACAATGGTCAATCAAAAAAGGCTCTATTCTAAAACTTTTTATATTCTCTGCAAAGATAATGTAAAATAGAGTAGAGAACTTTTATTTGCATTCAATTATTTAGGTTTCTAAAGTAGCTACATAATGTATTCTCAATTATATGAGCTAGTATGTTTTAGTGAAGGAGGAGGGAAACAATGAAGGACCAGCTTTCCAGGGACAAGCGGTTTTTGGTTGTATAATAGAGCTGAAGTTCCAACTCTACATTAAAGTTCTGCAGCTTATTACAAATCATTTTATTTTCCTGATACTTAATGGAAGAGGATGAAGGGTTTTATGAGGCCTAACATAGTAGTCTATACAAATTGGCACTTTGAGAGTACTTTTGAGGGGAGAATTAATACAAGATTCCAATGAATAGCAAGCAGAATTGGCAGATATGTGTGCTGGACATATAAGATCACTGGTGTGCTAAAAAATGTTTAACAACCAGCTCTCAAACAAACAACAACAAAAAACTGTTAAATGTGTATATTTGTACATAAGGCTTTTAAAATAGCATTTATTGCAATAAACAAACT